ACATGTACAGTGGGACCTATTTGGACACATGTGCCCACAGATCACACGCATAGAGTAATCCTCTACAGATAGGAAGGCAATGGCAAACGTTCCTGCAAAACGTGAATCTGTTTCACATGCTATGCATGTGACACTGGAAAGAACCGTGTCCCCTCCCATGGGAGGTTCAATTATCTTGGAACTGTTTTTATGAGAGCAGTTATGTGCAGATGACAAGGATGGGAATCACTGGCCAAAGGCAAGTGGAGTTTGGTGCTGCCTGTGGAGGATGGCTTATTTACTGGGTATATTTTTCCCCTTGTACTAAGACTTCCTTATACTAGAACAGAATTTTGTATTTCTGGCAGGTTTCTATATTTTTGGTTTTCAGTGACAGCCAGTAAAAATAAGAGAGACATTAAACAGAAAGACATTCTAGGGTAATAAACTAGAAAATAAGTAATTCATCAAGGTCAAGAGACAGGGAAATTTCAAGGTCCATCTATCCACGTGGATGAGCCAGATGGCTTGGTTTCTAGGTTCGGTCTCATTCTCCTTAATATGTGGTGATTTATGGAAAGGCTACATTACATGGGAGATCTTTATTTGGAAATGTTTATTTTTATACTATATTTTGGACATCCCTAGTCTTTCTGTATCTCTAAAAATTACTACTAATCTTTGGAGGAAAACACAAGATTCTTTTGTCAGGATGCTCCCAGAAGATAGAATTGGCATTGGTAATCTTTAACTCTAGGCTTTTCTGGAGGTAAAAATGGCCCTCCACGGAGGGGTGGGTGGTCTGTCTGTTTTCTTACAGCACTGTGAAGCTTGGAAGCTTGGAACTGGAAGGCATACTCAAGCCAATTTTAAGATATATCACTTTTGACTCTTAAAAGGCAGGAAAAGTATGAAGCGGCCTCTGGGTTGAACTAACATTTTGCTGAGGGTGATTCCAGGGCTCAGTCCTGCGTCCATCTGTGTTGACATGAGGCACATGGAGTTGTGAGACAGCAATTCCCGGACGGCGCTGGCAGCGCAGGCCGCCAAGGACCACCACCCACCACCCCTGCGGCTGCTCCTGTTGCTAGTGTATCTGGGGCTAAGCATACCATATTCTTTCTTGACCTGTCACATCATCCATTTCTCTTAAAACCTTAATTTCATGACTTCAAGAGTAAGAACACAAATCTTTTTTTTAATTTATATATACTTTTTGAGACAAAGTCTCACTCTGTCGCCCAGGCTGCAGTGCAGTGGCACCATCATGGCTCACTGCAGCCTTGATCTCCGGGGCTCAAGCAATCTTTCACCTCAGCCTCCCCAGTAGCTGAGACTACAGGCATGTGCCACCATGCTCAGCTAATTTTCTTTTTTTTTTTTTTTTGTATGTTTTGTAGACATGGGGTTTCGCCATGTTACTAAGGCTGGTCTTAGACTCCTGAGCTCAAGTGATTCTCTCGCCTCCGCCTCCCAAAGTACAGGAATTACAGTAATGAGCCATCATGCGTGGCCCCAAAATCTTTTTAAATCAACACAAAATATCTACTACTGGACACTTTTGTTTCTGTTCCATTCTTCTCCCAAATACTTCAATTAATTAGCAATGCAGTCAGTATCATACATAATTTTCTTTATTTAAATGATACATGTCTTCAAGAGTTTTCTATACTGTGTATAGACACTATATACAGATATGCCATAGACATATCTGTATCTCCACATAGTGCATGTATTTGTAATTTGTTTTTATGTAAGAATAACACACTGGGACACACAGTATCTCACCCGCGGTGTACCTATATTTGTCATCCTGAAAAGCAAAAAAGTAGCAAGTTAAAAAGGATCTTGGATTCTATTGTTTTTAAGTTTAGAAAACAATATGGCAAGTTAAGAAATTTCATTTTTAAAAATTGGGCCTGTATGTCTGTCAAAGTTCCTAAGTTTAACTTTAAATTGGAATTTGACTTTAAGTTTTCAATTATAAACAATCCTTTCGTATCTCTGGGGAGCTGCAACCGCATCTGACTCAGTAGCTCTAAAAATGTGGGAAGGCGGTATTACAGGATTCATTTTCCCTCTCCGATTATATGATTGAGAGTGGCAAAAGACAGTGATTTTTACTTAGCTCTTAAGTACTGAAATCAAGAGGAAGGTTAAGACTTTTTATTTATACCACTTTGTAATTATTGTTTCTGAGTAGGGGTTTAAACTCAACTCCAGCTGGAGTCTATCGCTGTAGTTCCAAGCCTTCCAGAATGAATCTTTTTAAATATTATCTTGGCTGGTGTGAGGAGAAACCAAGACAGTGCCTCTGGGTGACACACAGCTTTAGCTACAACCTCAAAAATTCCATTACTCCCATGGCAATGAGCGAAGGGGAGAATTACAAACTGCTATTTATGGCTTCTTCTAAATAGTTTATTTCAATCACAAAAGTCACAGTTTTTACAAAGGAAAGGGAGGACGCCAAAGGGATGAATTAGGAAAGATCACAGACACTAAAAAGCCTGGGCTAACTCTGACAAAGGGTTAATAAGATTTCAGATTCTTCACATTTTCTGAAGCCTATAGTGGAGATGGTTGTTGACCTGCTGGGTAACAGAGCCTGATTTTATATATATACATATATATATCTAGTGGTCTACTCTATTTTGATTTGTATGGGAAAGTAAAGGTTTTGGCCAGATGCGATGGCTCACGCTTGTTGTCCCAGCACTTTGGGAGGCTGAGGCAGGCGGATGGCTTGATCACAAAATGATTTTACTGACTGGAGCTCCACTACAACTATCCCTTGATATGTGTGAGGGACTGGTTCCAAGATCCCTAAGAATACCAAAATCCACGATGCTGAAGCCTCTTCTATAAAACAGGGTAGCATCTGCCTGTATCCCATGCACATCCTCCTGCATACTCTAAATCATCTTGAGGTTACTTAGAATACCTAACACAGTGTCAATGACGAGTAAATAATTGCTATACTATACTGTTTTACAATTTTTGTTTTTTATTGTTGTATTGTTGTTTTAAAAAATACTTTGATGGTATGGTTGAATCTGTAGATGTGGAGGCCGTGGATGGAGGGCTGGCTGTGCCTGTCATACATCCTGCTCTTCTGATCCATCCAATAGCCACAGCTGCCAGGGAGGGAGCCTGTGCTGCCAGAATGAGGAGCTGGGAGCTTAGAGAAGTGGGGGAGAGTCATGGCAAGGGGGCGTCAGAAACAGTAAACTTATAGTTCCAGTCTAATCCTAAAACCATCTGATACCAGTCACAAGACACAATCTATGAAATGCATCAACAAAGAAGCTCTAAGAGAGAAACTCTACCCTTCCCATTCTATTTTCTTACTCTTAAAGACAGAAAGCACAGAATTACTGAGTGGTTAACACTTTGGGGGAAATCAGTCTGATGACTGACTCCACGAATGATTTCTCTATAGAGAATTTCAAGGTTTTAAAGAAAGGCACCAGAAGCAGTTTTATAATCATCTTTCAGTTATTTGATATAAGAAAAAATGTTTGTTACACTATGTGAACAGGAAGAAAACATGGTTTCTGCATTCATGAGTTTATACTTTCAACCAGTGAATACAATAATGGTTCCCACATTAGACTGTTATATAAAAAAAGAAAAAAGAAGAAAAAAATTAAATGTTAAGTAGCTGGAGTTACACACACACACAATGACTTTAAAAGCATAGCGTAACTCCTCCTTAAGATAGTCCTCTGACCAACCAGAAACCCTATTTTACATATGACGACATTAGGGTCCCAAAGGGTTAAGTGACTTTCCTAGAACCAAGGCTATAAAGCAGAGGGCAGGCTTCCCTGGCTCCAAGTCCACAGGCTCTTCCCACGTACCAAGCTGTCTTGCAGTCATACATCATTACATAATTTTACTGCCACAAACAGGGATATCTGTATGAATGGCAGAGAAATCAGTTGCTTCTTTCTCTTGTGTTTAAACTAATGCTAAAATTAGTCAGCATGACCATCTTTAGAAACTGAGGGAAAGAAGAACCAGCCTATGGCACGTTAGGTGATAAATGGACCAGGGTGGGATTAAAAGTTTGCCTGATACATGAAATGAGAAAATTGTGGAAAATGCATACACATTAGGAAAAATTTCACAGGTTGAATGAGCTCAGTGAGGTAGAAGGTGGGGGAAGGCCCCACAGAATGTGGAACTAAGTGGTGATTCTGTAGGTTAAGAGGAATATCAGGCTGGGTGTGGTGGCTCATGCCTGTAATCCCAACACTTTGGGAGGCAGAGGCAGGTGGATCACAAGGTCAGGAGATCGAGATCACCCTCGCCAATAAGGTAAAATCCTGTCTACTAAAAATACAAAAATTAGCTGGGCATGGTGGTGTGTGCCTGTAATCCCAGCTACCTGGGAGGCTGAGACAGGAGGATCACTTAAACCCGGGAGGTGGAGGTTGCAGTGAGCAGAGATCGCACCAGTGCAGTCCAGCCTGGCAACAGAGAAAGACTCTATCTCAAAAAAAAAAGAGGAAAATCAAAAGGTGAGCCTTTCCTTAGATGCTGTCTTAGAGTGTCTTCTCAAGTCTGTGTGGAGAAACCAAAAGTCTACAATGTGAGAGAAATAGTGATGCTTATTATCAAATTATCATTTCCTGCACTACATTATCAGAGTTGCACCTGGGTAGGACAGACACAACGCTACAGCGGCAGCCCCCAGCAGTCCCTGTGGCTGCCCTCACCACCCTCTGTGGCCTGCCACGACGTGGACTTCTAGAGGAACACAGAAGCTACCAGTAGCTTGTCTCCTTCCTTTACATTATGTGACTAAGTTGCCAGATTTTGCATAAAAAGAAAATCACACTGTATTTTCCTGCTAGTGATGAAAAATAAAATAGCAAGATTCCACAAGGAATAGGTCTTCTAATAGACGTTTTTTTTTTTTTTTTTTTTTTGATAGGGAAGAGATTACAAAGATTTAGGAATCAGGTTTCTGGTCATCTGACTAATGACTTTCTTCTAACATTGTTCTTTTCTAGCTTGAGAATTATATCCAGGACAACATGAAAAAAGAAATGGTAGAGATGCAGCAGAATGCAGTGCAGAACCAGACAGCTGTGATGATTGAAATAGGGACGAGCCTGTTGAACCAAACAGCAGAGCAAACGCGGAAGTTAACCGATGTGGAAGCCCAAGTAAGTAACGCCACATAAAGCACACGGTGTCCCGACAGCTAGAGAGTAGCGCTCAGTTGCACCAGGAGCTTCCTCAATGAAGGCATGGGACATGAAAGAAAGCACCACCACAGGAGAAAAGCAAAGAACTGATCAGAAATTAAGGATGCATGGCTGGTACATCCTTAATTTAAATTCATCCTTAATGAATTTAAAATCAGTAAATCGGTTTTTGTTTTTAATACTGAGGTTTTTTTTTTTTTTTTTTTTCATTGATGAAGCTAGGAAGAAAAAAAAAAAAAAAAAAAAAAAAAAAAAAAAGAACGAAAGGAAGAAGGAGGGGGGGGG